GATGGTTGTCCCGATGATTGTTCCGATGGTTGTCCCGATGGTTTTCCCGATGGTTGTTCCGATTGTGTTGTTCCGATGGTGTTGTCCCGATGGTTGTCCCGATGGTTGTTTGGATGTGTGTTCCGATGGTTGCCCCCCGATGGTTGTCCCGATGGTGGTCCCGATGGTTGTCCCGATGGTTTTCCCGACGGTTGTCCGGGTGGTTGTCACGGTAGTTGTCCCGATGGTTGTCCCGACGGTTGCCCCCATGGTTGTCCTGGTAGTTCTGCCGATGGTTGTCTCGGTGGTTGTCCCGATGGTTGTCCCGATGGTTGTCCCAATGGTTGTCCTGATGGTTGTCCCGATGGGTGTCCTGATGGGTGTCCTGAAGGTTGTTCCAGATAGGTGGATGCACAGTGGCAGATAGACAATTAGATAGATAGTTAGGCAGACTGACAGATCTCTAGAAATATAGACACATATGAAGACATATCGGCATATTGATAGGTAGACAGATAGACATATATGTAGACATAAAGGTAGACACATACATATGTAGTGCATATCTAGTTAGACAGATAGGTCGATAGATAGATGGGCAGACGTGCGCGACAATAGAAAGCTTCAGAAACCACCAAGAAACCCAGAGCCATCGCAAATCGACCGCCTCCCCCTTCCCCCCAAACCTCTTATCACGCGTAGGGTGGTCCTATCGGTATACGTACATGTATGTTGTTGGGTGTTTGTGCACTTGTTTTTTTTTCTGTTTGCTTTTTGTAGGTGCTTAGTTTTGCGTGCTTTCTTGTGATTGGTCGTTTTTTCCCCTTAAACATCCTGTGGTGCGGAGCCCTCGTTTGGAAGAGACAGCGTCCAGGGTTCACTCCTCACTGCTCCTCCCCCTCCCCTTTCTCCCCATTAGAGCTTCTGCTCTCCGCAGCAGTCAGCCATTACGGCAAACTCCGCGCACGTTTCGTGGCCCCAGGGAGCTCACCCGAAGGTCCCATAAGCAGGGTTCGCATGCGGCTCCCCGCCCACCGCGTGTCCCCCTCACACGTTTCGTGGGTGGGCTTATATGGAATTCCACCTAAGGCCCCAGTGACAGGGTTCGTATGCGGCTCTGCGCCCACCGCATGTCCATTTCGGCACACCCCTCACACGTTTCATGGGCCCATATGGAGTTCCACCTAAGGCCCCAGGCGTCGCAAATCTCACAGGCACCACAGGCCACAGAGGTCTCCCAGGTCGCACAGGTCCCACAAGTCCCGCTGGTCCCACAGGTCCACAGTTCCACCTACCCCACAGGTCCCACGGGCCACAGAAGTCCCACAGGTTCTACAGTTTCCGCATATCGCAGAAGTCCCACAGTTTCCACCTGCACCACAGGTCCCACAGGTTTCTTTTGCTGCTATTAGGGTGTTTTGCTGAAGTAGTGGAGTTCCAGGTCGGCTATGACACGCGTTCGCGGATAGAGAAAAACCAGCGCAATGGGAAGGGATGGGAGGGAGGAGTGGATAGGATGTCAGATGTGGCGCGAGCGCGCCTAGCTTGCCCCCCCTCTCTCTTTCCCTCCCTCCCCCTCTCCCTCCACCCTTCACCTCCCTCTTTCCTCCTTCCCCCTCTTTCCCCCTTCTTGCTCCTCCCCTTCCCCCTCCTCTCCCATCTGGGATGTTGCTGGAGGTGACACTGGCCCAGGGTGCCCCCTAGCTTCTCCGCGCACTCTTGGATTCCCTGGGGCCCAGCGGGCCTCGCGACCTGGGCACCCATCCAGCAGAATCAGTACAACCAGGCCAGTCCGAGCAATTGGACCATGTCGTAGTTGAGCGAAGCTGGCTCAGCAGCGTTACGGCTATCTGGAGCGATCGGTGGAGGGCGCTCCAATCGCGTCGTTTCGTGCAGATAGTGGACCTCCACGCCGACATCCTCCAACGAAAACGCTCAACAAGAACGCCCAAAGCAGATCTGATGACGCTACAAAGCGAGGACACCGCAGATACCTACGTACGCATATTCCTTTGCCTGCAATTGGGGCAGCAACCTGATTTGTACAGATCTGGAGTTCAGGGCGAAATCCGTGGCTACATGCATGTTGGGATCTGTACAACATGTTCTGCCAACCATTTCTGTGCAGAAGCACCAGCCATGTATTCCAACGAGAACGCTACATTTTATTGAAGAGCGGAACCGCCGTAGAATGCTTGGGCGGATGTACAAGTCATGAAAGGCCTCAAGATAGTATACAACTTTCTGTACGTGCCGACAGGAAAGCATGGCTGTAATAAACAATAGCACAGAACGGATGGCAAGCTATTCGATCACTCCGGGAAGGGTGGCCGATGAAATATGGCCGTCTGCGGGATACCCAGGGCAATCTAGTTGACGCAGAGGTGCGAGCCGAAACGATTGCCAATTATGTGGAAAATGAACTGGCAATTGTGCCATGAGGCAGAACAGCTTCCCAATTTAGCGGAGGACAGCGGCTTCTTACCCATCGACGTTGCTGGCATCAAGCTGGAAGAGGTTCGAGGTGCAGAAAGGGCCTGGGAATGATGGAGTATCCCAGATTTATGGCACGCGCTATGGAGGAACAGCGCGGCCCTAAAAATATTAAGAGAGCTTTGCGATGATTGCTGACAGGAGAGACGTACCAGTGCATTGGCGAGAGCTTCACTGGTATCAGTTTTCTAGAAAGGCGACACCTCCGAGCCATCCAACTACATGCCCATATCTCTGTTAGCGGTGGGCTATAAGGTTTTTTTTGGCATCGACTGAAGACAGGAGGAAAGGAATAACAACTACGATGATCTCCTTATGGATGCCGGCCTGCCTGGGGCACCAGCGACGCATGATTCTTAGTGGGCAGACTCGTTGATGGTGTTTTGGAGGAGAAGCATGGGGAGATTTTCGTGCTGTTGCACTCGGGCAAAGCTTTTGATCGCATAAGACTAGCGCAGCTACTGTTCGCACTCCGCCGCTTTCGAATACCACACGCCATGCTGAACATGATTGCCGCGATCTATAAGGCGCGCACGTCCTGTCGTCAAAAATGGGGCAACCACATCGTCGCAAAAGGCTCAACGGGTTGGAAGTGCACCAGGTTGTCATGTATCTTCTTCCCTGAACGTAGTCGTTATGTCGGTGCTCCTTGAGGCCGCCGCCAAGACTTCCACGCGCAGCCTGGCACCGTCAAGAACAAGCTGTATGTGGTTACGAGTGACGTGCTCTACGCCAACGACACGCTGCTCGTGGCACAGTGTCTGGAGTCACTTCAGAGGCATGCCCATTTGGTGTCAAACATTGGGATTCGTTGGCTCGACCTGAACCCTGGCAAAACATTTTATTATTGAGCATCCGGTTGTTGTAGGGCCGAATGGAGAAGACATCCAATCTAAAGGCAACGTTGTTTATCTTGGTGGTTTCTTATGCGCAGATGGTCGGGCCAAGGCTGGAATTACGCGCTGTCTCGGGGAAGCAAAAAGGGCAGTAGACAATGATGTACTGTCTGGAACCGCGCCTTGTGCTACGAATACTGCAAGCTTGCGTCTTCTCTTAATTATTAGGTGGGCTGGATTCTCGCGTGTTATTGCGAGTCGACACAAACATGCTGATTGGATTGCAAACCAAATCATTTCGCAGAGCATTGAAGATTGAGCCTGCGTTCTGATTCTTCATGAGCAATCATCGCGTCCGGCTTGAAGCACAACTTAATCCATTGTCAAATGTACTGTTGGAGAGGCAGCTTCATTATCAGGGCGATCTTGCAAGGGTATATTGGCAATCGCTGCCGCAAGCTGTGGTTTTCCAGACAGGTGAGGCGCACTCTCGAGCCACTGGCACGGCGGTCCCTGAATAACCGAGGCAGACCGCGCTTGCAATGGACTGTCTACATGCACGCCCGCGCGCTGCGAGTCGCAGGAAACGACCCCGACCGCTTGCAGGTCTCCACGGGAATGGGATGCAGCTTTCAAAGAAGAACATCCAGTGTGATTGCGACGAGTTTCCTCGTTCTGCTCATCCGCC